GTCCAGGAAGCCGTCACTGGCCACCCCTGGTGAGAAACAAACACGCCCATCTGTGGGGTCCCATAGCTCTCCTGACGTCCCCCTAGCCAAGGGCTTACCACACAGCATGGGAGCTTGTGGTTTACCTGTGGATCCCTCTCGTTAGGTTGCCATTCCTGGAGCAGGGACCTCATCACATTACGGGACTCTGTCTCCAGCACCCAGCCCGGGGGGTGCCACATGCATAGAGTGATGGATCCAATGTCCGGATCCCCCCTAAATTCAGAAGTGGAAGCCCTAATCCCCCAATGTAAAGGCATTTGGAGGTGGAGCCTTTGGGAAGTAGATTTAGAGAAAGTCATGAAGGTGGAGCCCCCATCATGGGATTAGTGCCCTGATAAGATGAGGAGACTAGAGCTCTCTGTCCCTCTTGGCCACATGAGGGTGCAGCTAGGAAGTGGCCATATGCAAACTGGGGAGAGAGCCCTCACCGGACGCTGAATCTGCTGGCCCCTTGATCTTGGACTTCCTAGTCTCCAAAAACGTAGGAAATAAATCTCTGTTGTTTCACCCACCCAATCTAAGGTATTTTTATTTTTTATTTTTTTTATTTTTTTTGAGTCAACGTTAGTGAGAATAAGGTATTTTTCTTATGGCAGCCTGACCAGGATGAATAAGAAGTGCTCCGTAAATGTAAATGAATGAATGAATGAGCAAATGTCTTTTTCCAGAATACTTTCTTTTTATGTCTCCCCTCCAATCATTAAACTACTGTCCTATATCTCCTGCATCTCTGGTACCATGAACTCAGATTCTTGCCAGCAGTATTGAGGCTCAAAAAGACACATTGCAAGAGTTTGGAAAAGGAGAGTTTCTGCACCAGGGAATGTAGAAGTCTTGCCTGCTACTCACTACTCTCTTCCACCCCTTCTACTTGAGCCAAAATTATCCTAATATTTATGCCAACATCTGCTTCACACCAACTTCAGGGACTTATTTTCTTGATGCCTACGATAATAGGAGCAGTTTGCTCCTTGGAAAACAAGGAAGGAAAGGAAGTAAACATTACATTAATTGAGCACCTACTACAGACCAGGTGCTTTTACATGCATTATGTAATCCTTGCAAACATCCTTCCAGGCTGGTACCATCGGTCCCCCTCCCCCTGCCCCCCTTCCCCCCAAGATGGCAAAATAAAGCCTCAGAGAAGACAGTCTTACTGAAGGTCACACATTTATAAACAATGGGCTTCAGACCTGGGTCACTCTAATTCCAAAGCTGTACTTCTTTTCCTAGACCTTATAAATCTAAAGCTCGGCCAAACTCCCCAGAAGAGTTTTGCTATAGCCTCTTGGATGTTTTGCAATTTGGATCCATGAAAGAAACCACAAACTGGTATATATATATATATATAAAAAAGGGCAGTTGGATTCTATTTTAGTGATGCCTTCCTTGGAGCATTCTCCTGGCCTCTTTTCACCTTTTCTTCCTCCGTTCACCACGTGTGTTAACAGTCGCCAGTGATTTGTCTCTGAGAAACAGGAATCAAGTCTGGTAAGCAGGAAGGAGAGTAGAGATGATGGCAAGGCCACCTCCTGGCGGAGCAGAGCTCCATTCTACTGACCCTTGGCCTTGCACTCACTTGGCGGATTCCACCGGTCAGAATCCACCTCTCTTCTGCCCTTACTCACCAACTATAGCTTTGAGCGCCCCTAGTGGAGGTCTGCACCACTGGCAGTGTTGCAGAAATTGTCTGGATAAAATAGGAGGGCCAGTAAATTGAGCCCATTTGTACAGCTTAGAAAAATAGACTTGTGAGCAAAAATCAGAAAACGAGCCACTCTGATCGTAAAACAGCTTTTTGCTGTGGAACGGAATGGACATGAATGTAACTTTATTTTCTTAATGCCCAACTGAGCCATATGAACACAAGAAGAATCCTTCAAACTTAGAGAAGGTGGGTCCCTGGCAGGGGTAGCCAAACTCCATGGGAAAGAATGCCAATCCATAATGAAAATAGTCTCTAAGTGAATCTAACAGCAAAGCGCATTAGAGACAGGGGAAAGCTGCAAATCTGAGTCTTATTGAGCAATATTGAATCTGCTTTATTAATTCAAGAGAAAAAGAAAAGAAATTGCACTCAGGCTCTGCAATCTTAGCACGTAGTTACAATTATTCCCCATGTGCATATCTTAGACAATAAGGAGCCTCTTCAAAAACAAGTTATACTTTATACTTATTCATGCCTTACAGCAAAATGGCCCAGAGAATCACATGACCTGCATAAGAATGTAGCAACAAGTCCCTTGCAAGCATTCACAAATCCCCTCACTGCATGGCAAACAGAAGGACTAGTTTGCAACACGGAATTGGGTGAATGGGTCTCCCCCTGACATTAGTGGATGTTGGGCTCCATGTTGAAAATGGAATTTATTGTGGATGGTCGATTGTTTCCAAATGCACCATCAGATTTGGCAACGCTCATTGGCTACCCTCACTCCCTCCTTATGACTCAGAGACTTGGAGTCAGAACCACATGGTTATTAATGAGCCTTCTGAAGTAGTACATCAGTTGACTTTAATTTGGTGGTGACCTGAAGTTAATTTAAAAATATATGCTGGCTGGCCATAGTGTCGAGCAGTTGGAAAAAAAAAATATGAAGTGTCTTAAAAATTAAAACACACACATACTTCTCCCACCACAATTATGACAACAGGATAAAGAATCCGCGTCTTGGATGACAATAATACTGCCATTAGGAGATTTCCTCTGGAGAGTGGTGTATTGGAGAGTGTGGGACCATTTTAGAAAAGCCAGTAAGCTGTAGGGTAGCTTTGGGTCCTTTCTGGGTGTTTGTCACAACGTAGATTCAAAAGGGGTGCATGTGTGTGTGTGGGGGGGTGGGGGCCAATCTGGACTCACTTCAAGGCCACCAGGCCATTGACGAAAGAGATAGCTAATTAAGAAAGGCCGTGCTGGTGGAAATGATTTATTTAAACCAAGTCTCTTCCCCCATCTTTCCAGAGAAATTGCCCAAACCTGGTGTAAATTGTGAATATTATTGCCTCATTTAAGGGGGGTTCTTTAATGATATGCTTTGTTAAACAAAAGGTGATGAATGATTTCCTTTGCTAAGCACTCCTGGGCTCCACATTTAAAGAAAAGGGGATGGGGCATAAAATGCCAGATTTATGCTGAGGAGGGCACTCCAGGCCATGGGGAAGAGTGGAAGAGACCGCGACCCAGACCTTGGGCAAACGGAGCTAAGAGCTGTCCGAGGCCTTTGGTGCTGAAAGCAGGTGTGCGCGCCAGGGATTCAGAACTCCCCGGGAGGGGACACAGCCTGTCCCCCAACTCCAGGCCAGGATGGTCCAAATGACGGAGGCGGGGCTCCAGATGGGCAGAGTGCGCGCCCGAGACTGTCTTCAGCCTGGGCAGACCCTGCAGCTGCCTGCTTTTTCACACGTGAAGAGTGCGTTTCTGGGGACCGGAGTTGGACCTTGCAAGTGGGAGCAGGGGCCGCGGGGAGGCAAGGTGGGTGGGGGGGGTGGTTTACTACCGTTCCCCTCATTCCCCTCGATTCTTAGGTCTCCTAGGGGCCTGAACAAGCCCCTGCCAGCTCTTAGGGTTAGCTTTGGGTGAGTTAGGCGTTGCACTCCTCTCTGTCCGCACCCCGACCCCCCACCCTGCACAACTTTTCCTGGGGGACTTCAGCGGGGTGGCAAGTGTGGCTCCAGGTCTGGGAAGGAAGAGCTGCCATGCTCCGCTGAACTTGGCCCCCATTCCCATCCAGCAAACACGTGGTGGGTAAAACTAGCACCCTTCCCCCCTTTCCTAACAGTGATCAGAGACGCTAGGCTGTCAGGGCAGACGGCATAGCGGAGTGCCTTCAGGTTCCCGACTGCTACCTAACGTCTCTGCTCCCGCCCCCGCCAAGTTCTGAGAGCCCCGAGCCCCCTCCACCGGTCTCCCTGGAAGGCCACACCCAAGTCCTGTTCCTGATGCTTGGTTGGGATCGATGGATCAAGAGACCTGGCCCTGGGGTAGCTTGAACCAAAGGAGACAAGGGGCTCGGTACGAAGGCGCGGCACCAGGACGCCCCCACCCCCGCAAGCACTGTTTGAGTCTCGTCCTCAGTTGCAGGGTGGGTCAGCTGCTCCCATCCCGTCCTCTCCCCAAGAGGGAGAGAATTATCTGGCACCCAGCCCCGGGTGCGGTTGCAGCGAGAGCGCCGGGGTTCGGGGGTTTGGAGGCAGCCCCACTCCAAGGAGATCCTCCAGGGTTGCAAAGGGGAGCGGACCCTCAGCCGGGGAAGAGAGAAAGGGACCCCCCGCAGCCGAAGCTGGGAAGCGCCCGAGTCCTTCAGACACATCCCCGCCTCCACCCTCCCCTAGGCTCGGGCCAAGGGGACGCGGTTCCTGGCCCCGAGTCTGGGGAGCCGCCTCCGCTCCCCATCCGCGCGAGTCGCCCGGGTCAGCCGCGACCCCCGGCCGCCGCGCTCTCTTGGCAACTTTGCCCCCTCCCCGCCCCGCCCCGCCCCTCGGGCGCTTACCTGGCGCCAGCGCTGCCGCCGGGCTTCCCAGGAGCAGGGCGAGGAGCAGCGAGATCCCGCCGAGTCCCGCGGCGGGCGGCCGGGCCGCGGGCATCGTGGCTGCGGGGGGCGCGGAGCCGCGGGCTGCGGGGCGGGCGGGCCGCACGGAGCAGGGGCCGCGGGGAGGCAGCGAGCGAGGAAGAGGAGGCGGCGGCGAGGGCGGGGGCGCGGGCTGGGGCGGCCGCCGGAGCCCCCGGGCGGACGCGCGCTCAGCCCCGGTGGCTCTGGCGAGCTGCGCCGGGCGCGGGCGGCGAGTGAGGAGGAGCCGGCGAGCGAGCGAGCGAGCGCGGAGCGAGCGGGGGGAGGGAGGGGCTGGGGCCGCGCGGGTGCCGAGCGAGCGAGCGCGGGGAGGGAGGGGGCGCGTGGGCGGGCCGCGCGGGAGAGGGGCCGCGCGGCGCCGGGCTGCCCCCCGCCTCCTCTGGCCGGGCGCCCGTCTGCCCTGCAAAGTTTAACGCCAATTCCCCGCGCGTCCTGCGGGTCGGGCGTCCCCTCCACCGGTGCTGGCGAGGCCGGAGAGCGCCCTGACCATTTTCCAGACGGTGACATGGAGGCCTCAAAGCCCAGGCTGCGAGCAGAGTGGCGGGAGCTGCCCACTGCCCGGCCTTCCACACGCACCCCAGTTCCAGTTCCCTGTGGGCCCCAGCCAACCCTCCAGCGCCTGGTGTTTGCAGAGTGAGTCCCCATAACCTAGAAAGTCTTTAACTCTACGGATCTGCTGAGGAAGAGGCACAGCCGCGAAATTGCGCGTGAAACCACCGGGGGTCTCCGGACCCTCTGAAGCCCAACCAGGGCTCTAAGTTAGGGCTCATCCCCGTTCTAACCCGAGCGCCAGCTTCCACATCCCCGCCATCAGCAGGGCACTGGAGCTGCGGGGCCTCCTGGTGCGTCAGCCCTTGCCCTTGCTGTGCCCCCTGTCCCCTGAGCTGGAGTCCTAGGCCACCCTCTGCTACACTTTGTCCAGCCCCATTCTCAAGCAGCTGTCTTGTATCCACAAACAGAGGCGGTGGGGAAGCAGACACTTGTGGACAGACACAGGTCGAGGACCAGGTGGGACAAGCTTGCCCCACTCCTCGAGACTGTCTACCTTGCACTGCGAGCCTCGGCAGACCCAGGCGGCTTTCCAGCCGCTCACCCCAATTTAGAAGCGCTCGTCCTCCCCTCCACCCTACCTCGCCATACTATCCACACACTGCAGCTGAGCAGGCGGAGGGAGCAGATGGAGAGAAGGTTGCAGGCAGCAACGGGGAGGAATTTGTCTCCAGCACAGTGGTGGAGTCAGGAGTCCCTGGGAAGAATGGGCGGGGGAGGTGAGGACCGGTGGGGGAGGACCACCGCAGGGGAGAGGGAGCACTCTGGCCCAGGGTGTCGGAAGACCCTCCCCATGCATTCATTCATGCAGTGTTCTTTTACAGGCCACGTGCTACAGGAGGCCCAGACCTGCGTCAGGCTTTGGGGGGACAGAGAGCCTTCAATAAAATCCCCACCTTGGCTGCAAGAAGCTTGTCATTCCTGGCAGTAAAGCCAGTTGGTTTGCATGAAGAGGGAGGCTGAGGCATGGGCTAGGGAGGGGCTGGTTTGTCCGTGGGGAGGACGATGCACAGCTCCGCCTTGCTGCCCGAGGCTGGCAGCTCTCCAAGGACTGACCTTGCGGGCTTGGTCACCGCCAGGCGCTCAGGGGTCTGCACAGCACCGGACATGCGGCCAGGGCTCGGAATTACCTGTTGAATGGACACACGAGGAGGCAAGGAGGATGGAGGGGAAGGGGAGAGTGTGAGCGAGAGCAAAACATGGAGACAGGTCAGCTCCACACTTGGAGGCAAGGGGACTCGTGTGCTTGAGCACCTACTGTGTGCCAGGTGCAGCACAGTTTCCCATTTCAATTTCATTACGATCCCGGCAGCCAGGTATGGTTCTCATCCTGTGACAGGTAAGTATCTAATTTCTAAGGACGGCCCCAACCTAGCTGAGGTCACTTAATGGGACTTGGCAGATGTAAGGCCAGGTCTGAGTCCGGAGTCAAAACACGTTTCACCCTCACGGGCTATTTCCCAGGGATTTGGTGGCTGCCTCTGTGCTGTGAGTTGGTGGCTATCTCCTGGAGCTTTGACCCCTTCTCGTTATTAGTAGGTCACAATGACTATAAAGTCCAGCGTTAGGATTACTCCTTGTGGTAAGTGCATAAACTTCTAGAAGACCATTGCTTGCATGCAGGTGTCTAATGTGGAAAAAGCGACACCATAAACCATGAACCCGTTGGACACACGGGCAGAAACCACATATTCCATTTGTTGGCTGAAACATGGCACAAGGAGAGAATGGGACACAGACCTTGTAATCAGAAATTGTGGTGTTGGGAATATAAGTGGATTATCCAGAGGCAATATCAAGCCTCCCCACCCTTTTTTTTTTTTCTAACAAGAAATACCATACTAGGAATAGAATTACCTAAGCCACTATGCAGCTAACAAATGAAAATCTTCCTCCATCGGCATTTTGATACCCATTTTGCAGATGCGGAAACTGAGGTCTAGGGAGCCGAAGTGACTTGCTCAATATGAGCACTCGGTCTACCTTTTGGCCAGGCTTGTTGTCTGTTTCCTACCACAGGGCACTTCTGGCCTAGGTTCTGGTGTGTCAGGGTGGACTTCCCGCTCCCCACAGCTGCCTGGGGGAGGAATCCCAGCTTCGCTACCGAGTAGATGATGTGTGCTACAGTTCTGCTCACTGCATGCTTTGCCATGTCAGCTCTTACGCAGCTAAAATTAGTACCGTGGCGACAAAGGGTTAGATCCTGGCCTCACATCTTCCTTACACAATGACAAGGGGAAATGAACCTCTCTGAGCTTTGTTTTCCTCTTCTGAGGAGTAAGGATGAAAACTGCATTTGTAACGTGGAGTGATTGGCATGAGGGGATATGCTAGCACTTACTTCGTAAGGTCATAGGGTCCCATGAACTGGTGAACTAAAGCAGTTAGCCCAGTTTTGGGCACACAACCGGTGCAATCATCACCATCATCATAACTGCTTAGACTGCAAGGAAACCGCAGTTTCATTCACAAATGTTTGGTGTCGTGAGACAGTAAACACTGGGATCAGAGTCCTGAGTTCTGATCCCTCCTCTGTGACTTGCTATGTGATATTGAGTGAGTTAGCAGGCTCTCTGGTACTCTGTTTCCCTATTAATCTGTTCAACTACCCGCCCGCCCACCTATCTATCATACATTCTCCACTCCCTCCCTCCCTCTCTCGCTCTCCCTCCCTCCCTTCCTTCCTTCCACTCATCTACCCATCTGCCTAGCTGTTCATCCACTCACCTGCCCACTCATCCATCCATCCATCCACTCATCCATCCATCCATCCACTCATCCATCCATCCATCCACTCATCCATCCATCCATCCATCCATCCATCCATCCACTCATCCATCCACTCATCCATCCACTCATCCATCCATCCATCCATCCACTCATCCATCCACTCATCCATCCACTCATCCATCCATCCATCCATCCACTCATCCATCCATTCACTCATCCATCCATCCATCCATCCATCCATCCACTCATCCATCCACTCATCCATCCACTCATCCATCCATCCATCCATCCACTCATCCATCCACTCATCCATCCACTCATCCATCCATCCATCCATCCACTCATCCATCCATTCACTCATCCATCCATCCATCCACTCCTCCATCCATCCATCCATCCATCCATCCATCCATCCATCCATCCATCCATCCACTCATCCATCCATCCATCCATCCATCCATCCATCCATCCATCCACCCATCCACAAATGTTGTCTGAGCACCCACTATTTGTTGAGTGGCTCCCAAGGGCCAAACACAGTGCTAGGTGCCCTGGATGAAACAGACTCCATCTCTGGCTCTCTGGGGCTGAAAGTCTTTCTGAAACTGGCGACATAAGGCCCTAATCATTTCCAAGATTAATGTTCTAGGCTAGGGGAGGCAGCTTAGCAGTGTGGTTAAAAGCCTGGGCTTTGAAATCTGACCTCTATTTGAATGGTTTCTCTCTCCTACAAACAGCCCTGTGATCTCGAACAACTGACTTAACTTCCCTGAAATTGTTTCAATGAAAGGCTGTCATTTACCATTAAGTGACACAGTCATTATAAAGCACTTAGGAGAGCACACACAGCATACATTAAACTCTCCATTCATTTGTTTATCCATCCATCTATCCATTCTTTCAACAAATATTTGTTTGAGCACCTACAATGTGTCAGGCACTGTTCTAGGCACTTATGATATAGCAGCGAATAAGACAAGACAAAGTTCCTGCTCCCCGGGGCTTGCTTTGTGCAGGTGACAGATAGATAGTAAAATGTTTAATAAATAAGGATTTAAGGGAGCTGGAAGTTCTATGAGGAGGACAGAACAAGATGATTTGAGAGTCAAGGAGGCAAGTTCTTTTTGAGTGCTGGGATGGGCTCCTAGAATAGGAGACATTTAAGCAGAAAAGGGAATGGGGAGAAGGTCACACCAGGTGCGGAGCGCAGAAGAGCACGTTCCTGGGAGAGGTCCCGGCAGGGCAAGGTCCCGAGGCTGAAACTGGGTTGTAGCAATTAACAGTAGCCTTTGTCCTCGTGTTTCTGTGGTCCCATTTCTTTGTCTAATTAATAAGGGGCTTGATTTCCAGTTCACCAGACAGCCCACACTCAGCGATCCCTCTCTCCTTCAATGCACGGCGTTTGTGCACACCCTCCCCCACCCAAACCCAGCAGGGTGTTTCCCCTTAGGAACATCTGGTGGTTGGGAAGATTTTAATCACTAGGGGAAAACAAAAGAAAAAAAAATCTTTTGTCTTGGAGTGAAAATGAAATAGAAAAGAAGACATCTTAAAAGAGAGGGAGAAAGGGGAAAGGAAAAGAAACAAAGTCCTAGCCCAAGTCCTATACCCCAAGAGACAGACCCTCCCTGGGTCTTTGAGGGGAAGGCAGAGAATCCAACTCTTGTCTCCATTTATGTTTCCAATCCGGTTTTTATAACTTGCAGATGAGCCCTGCAGCCTTATGCGGGAAGCCCGCGGTAGGTACTCACGTCACCGCCACTCTGGCCGGATGCTAACAAGGGGGCCATCAGCCGTGATGCAGCCAGCCCCCTCTGGTGCAACTGCATTACCTGGAAAGCAGCAATTATGCCCCTCTGGTTTCCTTGGAAATGCTTGGTCTGTCTTGTACTACCCGCCCTGGCTCTTGAGACATGTCTGTGCACGGCAGAGATGCGACAGGGAGACAATGCCTTTATTTCCAAACTGAAAGTTTACAGAATACCAAGTGAGCCTGCAAGGTGGATGGGCGTTCTCCAGAGGCTCGCCTGGCCAGACAGGAAGGAAAACCAGGAACACGGAGGAGCTGAAACAGAAGCACAAACATATCCAATTGGATCAAGTTCCCGCAAACCCGGATGGGAGCTTTCCCTGACTCTAAGGGTTATGTTCTCGGGCCTCAAAGATGAGAATAAAAAATCGATTAAAGACATCGTGCATATGTATATACTCTGTTGGCATTATAAACTGTGACTTGTACATTTTTTTCAGACCACAAGAGAACAGCGTAGATGAGCAGACGTGCACAGATCTAAGGGTTATTCTAAGGCTTCCATGTTGGGGGACCCCATGAGCTCCCGTGCCCTTTGGAGTCCTCCCGTGTCCTTAGGTGTATTTGGAGAGAGACGTGCTCGAGTTTCAGGCAGAGCTTCCTCCTACACGAGTCACTTTTAAACCTCAGTTTCCTCATCAGTACTAGGTGAAGAATATTAGCAACGACTTTGTAGGGTTATTGTGGGCATAAAAGAGGGGGGATGTATGTTCAGTGCTGAACTGAGTGCCCAGCCCGTAGAAGGTACTGGGAAACCAGGAACAATTGTAATATAGCATATAAACTGTGTGTAAGAACAGAGCACAAATGCTAGAAAAAAACTCTTCTCTCATAGGGCTTATTAAGTGTATTTTTGTATGTCTAGACCCAGGAGAAAGTCCAGCTAGGGTTAAGGGTTTGGGATAAGTAAAATTCCCAAGGCCATCGGGACTCAGCCAGTCGAACCCATTTTTCACGTGACTCTTCTCGCTCCAAGTTAACCAAGGCGGTGCTGTTCTGTTCGGTTCTAGAAACATTCATCTGCCCTTGGCCTCCCCCTCCAACCTCACTGCTGTCTTCGGTACGGAATATTGAGAACGCCAGGCTGGGCCAGTCCCTGCTAATCGATACCCTGACCTTTCTCCCAGCTCCCCAGCCAAAGCCCAGGGGGACAGAGGGGGACACAGCCTCGGTGCCAGGGGGAGGGGAGAGGATGACCAACATCTGTGGACCCTCCGAGGCTCAGCGGGACAAGTCACGTGCTCGAGAGCACCAGGCCTGTGGTTTTTCATGACCTCACACCCTCCCCCAGAAGGACGCACCACCCGGCATCATTATGTGTTTGCAGGTATGTCATCTGTGTCCTCCCCCTAGATTCTAAGCTCCATGAAGGCAGGGACCTTTTTTTATTTTTTTTGCACAAAGCACAAGGGAGGTTTCCAGTAAAGTCTTGTTAACTACTGAAGGAATGAATGAATGAATGTCCACTTTGCAGATGAATACACAGCGGCTCAGAGGGCTGATGAAATTTGCCAGCAGGTGACAATCAGTAAGTGTGACAGACCCAGGACTCGGACCCGGGGCTGTGCGACCTCCGGCTTGAGCCTGTAACCACTTGGCGACACTGCCCGTCAGATCCAGGAGCAGGTTGATGCTTCCCAGCAGTGAGACTCTAAAGCAGCGGGAGTTCCCGGCCGGAGCCGTGGTCTCCGTGCCAGCGTCTGAATGTCTGTGAGCATTTCAAGTCATTCCACGAAAAGGCGACGTCAGTGGCACCATTAAACCCTGCTGTTTCCCGGCCCATCACCGCCGTCCCCACCTATTAAAATAATAGCATGAAAAATAAACAGCCTGCATGTGCGATTTTATACGGTGTGTGCGCTGTTTGTTTCTCTTACCGTTTCCATGGCAGTGACGTTCTCAGCATCACTTCAGGTTTCTGCGTGATGGAAGGGGAATGGGAGAAAATTGCTTGGGAGAAAATTGCCAAACGCAGGCTTTTTCCTTTCCAGATGCCCCACACCCGGCGCTCAACAGCAGCCACACCCTGAAGTCAGGATCAAGACTGCCCCTTAACCTATAACCTGCCATGGCTCCCCAGTGCCCGGAATATGAAGGCCATGGATCTTAGCAGGGCTGCAAGGCCTCTACTGTCTGTCTTCCTCTCTTGCCCGTTGTCCCTCTGCCATGTAGACCTGCCTGTGGGCGACCCTGTCCTCACTTTGTAGTGTTAGTGCTGGGCACGTGGGCAACATACCCCCCCTTGATGTTTCACACCTCTCCACATCTGCTCGTGCTGTTCAGGCTACCCAGGGCCACCGTCCTTCCTCTCACTTCTCTGCCAGGCCAACTGCTGCTCATTTTGCCAAGCCGGGGCTTCAGTGTGACCCTGCAACCAGCTTCTTTCCCACCCAGCCCTTCATCCGGGTGAGATCCCTGCCCTCCCTGCTCCCTGGCCCCCTCCAGCACAGCGTTCATTCATCGTGTGGCCTCCCGGACTCCAAGCTGCTTGAGGGCAGGAACGGTGCCTTATCCAGTGTCTAACAAGGTGCCGGGAACATAGTATATGCTCAAGAAATGCTTGCGGAACCAAAGTAGAAAACAAAATCAGGTGGCCTGTGTGGCTGCCTAAGGGCATGGTGCCTGGGTGTGTCTCATTCTTTGGGAATAAATATGCGGGTTTAAATCAGAGCCCTGGGCAGTGCCTGTCAACCTTGGCTGCACTTTAGAGTCACCCAGGGAGCTCTTAGAAATTCTGAAGGCCAGGTCACACCCCAAGTTAATGACACCAGACTCTCTGGGAGTGGGCCCAGGCGTCTGTGTGTTTTAAGGTCTCCCAGGTGGCTCCAGCGTGCGGCCAGGACCGAGAGCCACTGCACTCAAGGCTCCTACGTGGAGTCCTAAACATGCCTGTGTGAATGAGCAGGGGCCAGGGGCTCCTCGGGGGCTGAGTCCACCCCAAAGTCCAAGGACCCAGAGCCAGGCCTGAGCAAGAGCCCCGAATCTGGTTACAGCGGTAACAGCAGGGTCTGATCTTCACGGAGCACCACTGTGTGCTCAGCACGTCACTGGCTGCTCACTCTAACCTGCGAAGGTGGCATTGTTGATACTCAGAGAGTGGTGGGGGTCGCCCTCGCTCTCATGCCCAGGCAATGGCAGGACAGGATCTGAATCCAGGTCCGCCTATATTCCAAACTCATGCTATTGGCGTTTCTCCATTGTGGGCAGGGTGGGGCAGCAGGGAGGAATTGGAGACGTTAGGAAAACTGTCCCCAGGTCACTTGGGACTAACCCCACCACCCCACTGCAGACGGCCTGGAGGCCCACCTGCCTCTCTCTGGTTAGCGCTGTGCATTTCCCTCCCTCTTGGTGCCTCTTCTCTCTCTCTCTCTCCCCCTCTCTCTCCTGGAGGCCCCTAATCAGGGCAGCCCAGTTGGGGGAGGGGTCAGGGGACAGCACACCGCCCTCCGAGCCCACAGCCTCAGCGGTTCCCAGGGCCTGAAGGAGGAGGGGCTTTGCCAGAAGCCCCCAGGACGCAGCAGCTCCCGGTGGCTCAGGCCTGGCGGGCAAGTGCTGGTGCCCCCAGCATGCCCCAGCCCCGCCCCGCATCTGAACGGCGGCTCCTTGGCTGTGCTCTTGTTTCCCAGCCCCTGTGTATGGCACACGTACTAAGCGTCACTTCCTGTTCCCACAACAGCCCTATAAAGCGAATCACCTGCAAAGTGGAAAGAACAGGAACATGACTCCAGGGTCCAGGTTCGCTCCATCTCAGGAGGCCTTCCCTGACCTATGGGCTTCGAATCGCACCCCCTCCTCGGGCTCCCCGTCCTCCTGTCCTGCTCCATTCCCCACGGCACTGCTCAGCACCCCAAACTCCCTTTGTACTTATTTGTGTTGTTCATGTTCGCCTCTTCCGGCCAGACTGTCACCCATGAAGGCAGAGATTTTGCTCTGGTTTGCTCGCTGCTTCATCTTCAACACCTAGAAGTGCATTTGGCCATAGCTGGCACTCATAGCATGTGTGTTGAGTGAATACATGACACCACGTTTTCCTTATCTTCTGGTTATGTCTACATAGTTTATGATTATGGTCACACCAGAAATAAGATGCAATCTATACTTGGACCCAGTGCATGGGTCTATACAAGCACCCAGTGCGTGGTAGGGGCTTCATTGATACTGGATGAATTTCATTTCCATGCATTACTTAGGGCTCTTTTGTAAAAAGGAACTAATGCTGAAAAAGGTGGGAGGGCTTTGTTAGAAGAATAGGAGTATCTCACAGACCCAAGAGGAGTTGGAAAAACAGGCCGGGGACAGCACCAAAGCAGTTCTGTGGATCTGGGAGGCAGGGACACTCCTCGGTGCTTCCAAGGGGCTGCACTTGGCATGAATCCCTACCAAGGTTGGGCCAGGTGCCCACCTCCCGGGCAGAGGAGGGTGGAGACTTTTGGTTGACAAGTCCACCAAGATTGCATCCAATGGGTGGTTCTCAAAACAAAACTCGGGCGCTAGTATCAAAATAAAGGTAGGTGTGGATTCTGGTTGGGGAATACCATGGGTTGTCCTTGGTTTTTGACCTATCAACGCCAGTGGGCACCCCAATGTGTGTGGGTGGGGGCCACGTGGCTGTGGAGGAGCTGATCGAGGCCCCGATGTTCTGGGCTGTCCCTGTCCCTTCCTCTCAGCTGTCTGAGACCTCTGAACGGTGAGGGACCGGCTCCAGGTCGCGTGAAAAGACGTGAGTGCCGTGGCAAATCTCTGGACTCCAGAGTTCCAGGTCCCCTCCAGTCTACCCCAAATCTGTTCTGGAAGAAGGTCCATCAGCCTGGGAATGGCAATGGCCACCAAGCCATTAGTGCATTCAGAGCAAGAGCCGCAAGCAATGACGGTGGGGTTGATTGCAGAGATGGATCCTTTTAATCAGTACAGGTTAGGTGATGCTGTCATAACCAATAAACGCCACAACTTCAGTGGCTTCCTACAGCAAGGGTCTATTTTTCACTCACAAACGTCCTGTGGGGTTTCGGCTGCTCTCCGGGGCAGCTGTCCTCCCTGCAGGGACCTGGTGATCTATGTCACCTCCATCCCGTAGTTTTGTGATCTCTGCTGGTGGCTTTCTGGCCGCTGCTCTTGAAGCCTCTCCAGACGCGAGTACCACGTTCCTTCTCGGAGTCAATTGGCTAGAAGTAGCCACACGGCCTCACTCTAACCACGGGGGGGAAGCCGAGAAATGCACGGAACGTGTGGAGTATTTCCCACCCACACACACAGGCGACAGAAACACTCCCCGGCAATTAAGGCCATGGCAGCAGAGCATCAGCTTTGCAGGGGACAGCACCAAAAAGCCACCAGGATGCCTCTTTATGAAGGCTGGTGATTGGAATCCTGGGGACTCTTTATGTGCTAGTCTATACTCGCCTGCGATCTACCACCATCTAAGCAGTCTGCCAAGGAGGCAGGACAGGGTATTGGAGATAGGGGGTCCATTGTTGGTTAAATAACTGGCTCCATGCCAGGCATAATCCACAGCCCTCGTGACAGCCCCGATGTCTTCTTGAAAGTTGTGCTTATTTTACAATTGAGGAAACAGACTTAGAGAAATGTCATGACTTGTCTGAGGTTCGCATAGCTCATGCATGGGGCGGGTTGGGGGGGGGCTCCCTGAATCCAGTTATAGTGTCTCCACCATACTGGGTAGCCCGCCAGAGCCAAGACAGGCATTGCAAGACTTTTCTCTTTACCGGATGGAAATAACAATGATGATGTAAATGATGATGAAGATGATGGTGATGATGATGAAGTTGAAAGCAACTTCATTAATTATGAATAAATGACTACGTGCTGAAAAATCTGTAATCTCATTAACTCCCCCAGTTGTCCGGTGAGGCAGGTTCTATCATTGTTGCCATTTCACAGATGAGGAAACCAAGGCTCAGACAGGCAAAACGAGAAAATGCTTTCAAGATCACGCAGCTGGTAAACAGCACAGTGAAGACTTCAGTGCAAGTTTTCCCGATTTCGAAGCCACTCCCCTGCACCAAAATGGGAACAAGTCGTTTGGTTGTTTTGTCAGCATGCTTCCAACCACCAGGTTTGACTAATCTGTTTTCCTTTAAACCAACCACTTCTTGTTTAGGCATTTTTTAGATGTCTTCATAACTTGCATCTTTTTTCAAAACAATTTTCAATTCCTCTTAAAAAGGGGATGAGAACCGTGTGGCCTGCCCCACCTGGGGTCCAGAAAAGAAACATGAACGTCCTGGTCGCGTTCCCTGTAAAAACATGCATCCCCACCTCGCTGTCCTTAACAAAAGACAGATGCTAATTAGGGTTTTCACTAGTGTTTACAGGCTCAGTTTTAATTATACCAGATCTATCCGAATTTACTGTAGCCCTCTGATTAACAGGGGAAGAAAATCAATAAGCATACCGAAAAATTTGGATGTGTTTTACGGCTAATTCCAATTTTATGTTATAATCATGTTTTAATGTGGGTCCTAATTACCATAATTAAGCTGCCTGTGACAGTGCTGGCTGGGACAGAAGCTGTTACTATTCTAATATGACTCGTCAAAGGCTTTTCCCAGATTTTGGGTGCATTTTGCCATTTGGCTGGTTTGGGGTGCCGTGGGGGTTGGGAAGAGCATGCGTGTGGCATGTGGACAAAGGTTTCTGGAACCCTGACCAGGAAAGCCTTGGATCTTAGGTTAAAGCTAGACCAGGCGCCATGGCCGCGTCACCCACCTGAGCCTTCCCCAAGGATTTATTGAGCACTTACTACGTGTCGGGTGCTATGATGGGCACCAGGAACACAAGTGAGAGTTTTCATTCCATGGGGGAGGAGTC